GGGTGAAGATAAATATAGCCAGGATACTTAGTATTATTGTAAAATAATTTAGATCCGTTAATTACGCTTCATCACTTGTATATATGTATCTGTAATCTTTATGGCTAAGGAATCAAGGAAGAATATTTCCTCTACACTATCCGTTAAGATTTAACGATGGTGATATGTCAGCCTGAAATATAATTTTTTATTTATAAACTGATATATTTATGTACGAAATTACTAAAATACCCTCTAACCGGGTTTCTTTAAATTTACAGCAGCCCCTTCCTCTTATTGTTCTGCAAATTTTTAAAATTTAATCTCTATTCATTTTAATTTTTATTTTAAATCTGCTAAATACAACCAAACTTGAAATCGATCTCAAATTTATAAAACAATCAATCGAATGGACATGAGAAGGAGACAAGAATGGCGAAGTTATTGTTCATCGTTGATTTCTTTGTTTGTTTCAATCAATCCAAAAATTAAAGAAATCAATTTAAAATCAATTTGCCCATCCGGTTCCAATTAGCCGGTTCTCCAATTTTTGAACCGCCTATTTCGATTCAAATCGAAACCAGATTCAAACCCTGTGATGAAGGAGAAAAAAGAAGAAGGAAAGAACGAGTGCAGCGAGAAGAAGAAGCGGAGAAGAAAACGAATGAAGAAAGAAAATTGACGAAAAGAAGAAGAGAAAGAACCTTGTGCGGCTGGTGTTGCGTGAAGAAGAATTGGGTAAGAAGAAGAAGGAATGAAGAAAGAAAATTTGGGAAAAATAAAAAGAAGAGAAAGAACATGGTGCAGAAGAATTGGGGAAGAAGAAGAAGGAAGAAAGAAAATTGGAAAAACTAAAAAAAAAAGGAAAGAACCAGCTACGGCTATGGCGTGAAAGAATAATTGGGGAAGAAAAAAAGAATGAAAGAAAATTGAAAAGAATAAAAAATAATAATAATAAAAAAAAAAGAAGAAAGAATCAGGTACCGCTGCGGATGCATGAAGAAGAATTGGGAAAGAAGAATAAAGAAGAAAGAAAATTGGAAAAAGAAAAAGCAAAAAAAAATAATAATAAAAAAAATAAAGAACATGGTGCTGCTACAATGGCAGCTGTAAAGAAGAATTAGGGAAGAGGATGGGAGGGGAGAGGGTTGTATTAATATTTTGAAAACTACAAGTATGTTTTTTGAAACTTTAGAACTAACAAAAGATTTTCAGCAAATTCTAAAAATCATACTCCCTCCGTCCCATAAATATAGTCTGAATTGGATTGGACACAAGATTTAAGGAATATTGTCGGTGGATAAAAAGTATGGATAAAAGAGTTTTTTGCCTTTTTGAGTGTATTAGTGTAAAAAATAGTGACAATTGTGTAATAAAAATGAAAAAATAGATATAGTTTTACGGTGATATGATTATTTAAGAAAATAAAACTATTGTTTTAGGAAGAAAAAAAATGGTAAATAAGACTATTGTATTGGAACAAGAGGGAATATAATATTTTTTTAGTATTTTGCCAAAATAAAAATAAAAGAGATGATAGTAAAATTTGGTTCACAGCAATAAAGTCCAATGCGTTGGCAACATTCCGGCAAAAATTTACAATAAGACGTATTTTAGTATTTATTTATTTATTTATTTTTCAATGTGGCATCAGTTAAAATGCGTTCTCCAAGGCAATAAAAAAGAGTATTGTAAATGCTCTTATACAGTGCATATGATCGTGTTGAGAAACAATGAACCAGTGGAGCTGATATATATGTTTCTATACTAAATGATCTTATTATCAAAAATAATTTTAAGAAATAATTATGCTATTTTTTTTAGTAAAGAAAAATATAAATAATTATTATTGTATTCCAAAAAAATAACTCAGCTTCTATAACAAGAAAAAATAAATAAATAGACTTTACAAACTATAAATCATTTAAATATATATACATATATTAATATCATATAATGATATGTATACAATAGATATTGATTAGGAGTAGAATACAACAGAGATTATTAGATTGGGTTATAAGATTTTGATTCGATATAACTATTATAATTCAAATTTTTTACTATTTAAATTTCAAATCAAAATCCAAATTTCCAAACAAATACACGAGGGTGTGGAGAGTATTGAGTATTTGTCCATTCATTCATTCTTTTAAGTTTTCTTCATAAAATATTGATCACTGAGAGAATAGGAGCAACAACAACACAACACAACACATCGTGTCAACCAGATTGTTACGACGGATTAGGGTTAATGATCGAATAACAAACAGAAAGCGTAAAGAAGACACAAATTTACGTGATGCATAAAAAACGAGTTGGCTACCTCCATGGACATAAACGGATAACATATTTTATTGCTGGATTTGAACTGCTTGGCCGCGATTCTCAACGCTGCAAAGGTATCTCATAGTTGAGTCCAACTTTTGATTATCAATCATCATATACACACAACATGGCATATTAAAAATCAACATGATTAATTATATATATATATATAAAGCAAGTTATTCAATTTGGCGGCGCAAGATTGGTGATCCCCGGAAACTTCCCAAAGGGGTGTCTCCTAATCTACAAAACCGCTTTTGCTTTCGAAAGCAGCAATGCAGTTGCAGATGACTATGACAAGCACCATTGCCTGAAGCATTTGAATGCATTCGCAGCGTACCACAACCAAGAGCTGCAGCGAGGCATCCAAAAGCTCCAACAGGATAACCCCAACGCTATGATAGTCTATGGAGATTACTACAATGCATACCAATTCTTGCTTCGATATGCCAAGCATCACGTTACGTAACTCTCTCTCTCAAATAATCAAACTAACTCACAATTGATTAAACTTGATTGTAATAATGATTTGTTAGAGTTTGGATTTTGAACGATTGGATCCTCGGGGTTTGAATTGAGGCTTTGTATTTGGTTTTATATATGCTCATTTTGTTTGTTTAAACATTAACCTCAACTTTTTCACCACTTTAGAATTTAACCACAATTGTTAGTTCATCATCATCTAAGTCACCAACTTAATTATTTACGTTTTATTTTATTAATCACATTCAAGTTCTAAGCCTTTGTATTTCATCTCTTTTAGGTGATTCACCTCAAATCCCTTAACATTTCTAATCAATTCATTTATGTTTTGAATGTCTGGTCCTTAACTTAGTCTAGAGCAACCAATTTTATGAGATCTGTGATAAGTGTTAGCAGAAGAGGAAGAGAAATGTAGAGCCAAGAAATACAAACAAGAACAAAGGAGAATTTTTTTATTTATGCTATTAGTTATGATACAATAAATCTGACAACAATTATTATTATTAGAAATTCCACTTTTTAACTATTGCAATTCTTAATATAACTTAATACATCTCGTAAAATATATGCACATATTATTTATTTAATGGCGGCACATGAACTAACAACACATGCTATAGTTTTATATATCACAATCAATACGTGATTTCAGCACACCACATATTGTTATTATGAACCAACAACACAAATGCAACACATGAACTAACAGCACATGCTATAGTCTTATATAACACAAATACTAATTGATTGGTTTCAGCATACCTCATACTATTATACAATACGCTATAATTATGAAGCAACATCACTTATCATTATTATATACAACATGTGTTGTGTATGATAAGACTTTGTGCTGTTTTCAATTTAGCACCGTACTGATTTTTCCAATTCAGCACCCTAACTATTCCCTTATTTAATAACAATAATGTTATTATTTGAATCACTCAACGGATATTAGTACTTTCCTTACGAATTCACCAACCATATCCATAGTCCTTGCCCAACATATGTGCTCGATTGTTGGAAAATATCAATATACTATGAAATTATCCAGTATTCCCATCGTCATTCATTTGTAGCTTGGAAGACCTCACTCTAGATATCTCTCATGTATGTTCCAAACTTTTTTAGCAACATCATAGTTCAACACGAGTTTGAACTGATCATCATCTAATCCAAAAAAAAAATAATTCATTCGACCTTCTCTAAGGCCATCTCCGACCCTTCACTCCATTTTTGTAGTTGCTACAGTAAAAATGCAGTTGATCTACAGTAATTTTACTCCAACCATAAACTCCAACATTTACTCTAGAAAGTATATTTCCTATATATTCCTCTTTTATACTATTTTATATAACTTTTCATATTTATAAATTACACCCCAACTTTAATTTATTTTTGCATTAGATCCATACACATATAATTTATATTTTTTTAAAAAATTACATATATAAAAATTAACATTTATAATTAATAACTATTACAAATAAAATAATTTTAAATAAATAATTAAATGCTATCAAGATAAATATGATATAATAATTAAACAAAGATAACGTAATATTATTATTTCATAACAATTTATTACAAAAACATACATTACAAAATAGTTCAAATAAAATACGACATATTTATTCAATGGAGTTACTATATTGCTCCCATATATACTCTATTAAATCATTACGGAGTGCAAAATTAGCATCTTTGTCTCTAATTTGTCTATGTCGGGCAAGAAATTATTGAAGTTGGATGGTTTCATCGGTTGTCATTTCCACGGATGGGGGTAGTGTTTCTAAAACTTCTCTGATAGGTGCACTGAGATCTTATTCTTCTATTATCATATTATGCATAGTAATGCAAGCAGTAATAATATCATGCAGAATATTTTTTTGCCAAAATCGAACAGGTTCAGCAATTATATGCCAACGTGATTGTAGAACTCCGAAAGCACGCTCAACATCTTTTCTACAAGACTCTTGTTTCTGTGCAAAAAGTCTTTTTCTTAGACCTCGTGGATCACGAATAGTTTGCACAAGAGTAGCCCACTTAGGATAAATGCCATCAGCTAAATAATACCCCATATTGTATTATTTCCCTTGAAGGGTATAATGTGCAGGAGGAGCAATACCTAGAGCAAGATTTGAAAACAAGTGCGATGATTCTAAAACATTAATGTCATTATTGACACCTAGCATACCAAAATATGCATATCAAATCCAAAGATCATAATCAGCCACAGCTTCGAGAATAATAGTTGGTGATCCACTACGACCTGCATATTGACCTGCGAAAGCCGTAGGACAATTTTCCACTTCCAATGCATACAATCTAAACTGCCCAACATACCTAGAAAACCACGAGATTCTCCAATATGAAGCAACCTTGAAATATCATTAGCGTTAGGATGTCGAAGATATTCAGTTGAAAAAATTTCTACGACGGCACGACAAAATCTCTTAACATTTTCAACTGTTGTTGATTCACCAATTTTAATGTACTCATCAATTGAATCTGCAGGTACACACCATATGCTAACACCCGAAAAACAGCAGTTACCTTTTGTAAGGTTGACAAGCCAAGTCTACCAAGACCATCTCTCCGTTGTTGAAAATATGGATCATGATCTTTAACCGTATCAACAATACGAAGAAACAGACTTCGAGACATTCGAAATCGTCGACGAAACATTTGTTCATTATATAAAGGATTATTTGAAAAATAATCAATATATAAATTACGATCTGAACTTTCACGATCACGATTAATTACTCGATGACCTAGGATAGAGCCTCGATGGGTTGATTGAGATGGATTGAGTAACTGCTCCAAATAAGCATTGTTTTGCATCAATATGGAGATTGCTGCTTCATCCTCTTGAAATGACTCCATGAAAATTCTACTCACTTCTTCATCATCTGACGATGAAGAGTTACTCATGCTGAAGAAATAATATTGTTTTGATAAGTAAATATAAGTTTGATGAATAAACCTTCGTTAAATGTCAACTAATTTATAGAATGAAAATTTTAGATAAAATATAAATATATGAGAAATATTTGGATAATATAGATATCCATCCAACGGATGAAATAAAGATGAAATCCAAATGAACGATCATGATTGCTCGGATATGGATAAATGGATTTTTATAATTTATAATATATAATAATTGATTGGATAATATAGATATCCAATCCAACGGATGAAATGTAAATGAAATCCAAACGAACGCTCATGATTACTTTGACATGGATAAATGAATTTTTATAATTTATAATATATAATAAATGATTGGATAATATAGATATCCAATCCAACGGATGAAATGAAGATGAAATCCAAACGAACGGTTCAGATTGTTTTGTATATAGATAAGTATATTGTTATAATATATATATATAGTCAAATATAATATAAATAATTGAGATTGGTCAAAAAAGTGTTTTGATCCAACGGTTAGGGTGTTGTGAAATCTAAATGAACGTCTGAGATTAAGTTTCACAATGGATAAGATTTTATATCTATCCAAAATTTGTCTATAAATACATGTTTCCACTCTTTGAATTATTGCACCAAAATCACTCACTCTTCATTCTAATATAACAAAAGTTTATCAAAATTTCTTCTCAAAATATCCATCCGAGGTGGTGGTTATACTCATGATGAAGATGTGTTGCTATGCCAACATTATTTAGATATCTCGCAAGATCCAATTACCGGAAGGCAGCAATCTAGGGATCAATTTTGAAATTGAATCACTGATGCATACAACCAAACTAAAAATCCTGATTGGGAGATACGTAGTACAAGATCTATACAAAATCGGATCCAAGCCATGGAGAAAGTTGTTCGAAAGTTACTTGCTTGTATTAAGAAAGTAGAAACTTTAAAACCCAGTGGAGCTTCAGAGATGGATATTGTAAGTCATTTCTTAAATTTATTGTTAATATATATATAGCTTGAAAGTTCTATTTGTAACATTAAAATCTTGTTTGCAGTTAAATCAAGCAAAGGAGATACTAAAACGAAGGAAGATGCAAAATTTAAAAAATATTTTAAATTTGATCATGTTTGGAATTTGTTAAAAGATTTTGAAAAATTTAATGATCATAATGAAGTTAGAAACCCATATAAAATACCTCGAAAAAATAATTTCACTCATGTATCATCATTGTCGGATAACACTGCTTTTGAATCTCCTGGAAATTCATCATTTTCTGTTAACTTAGACGATGATGAGAGTGGATTAAATTTAAATTATAATGTTGGTGGGTCTTTATATGAGCGCCCCATAGGGGTGAAAAAATCAAAACAACAGAAGAAAAATAAAGATAAAGAAGATGCTCATGTTAGTAAAGTTAAAGAACAAAATTCAATGGTTCTGGAAATACTACAAAAATAAAATTTGCACAGGCAAGAATTTTTGCAATTGGAACGAGAGAAATTAGCATTTAAAAGAATGGCATGCGAGGAAAAAATTATGAATATGGACTTTAATGCTATTTCTGATCCTGCTCAGCGTGCTTATTACCAGCTCAAGAAAGATGAAATTTTATAGAAAAGAACAATGGAATTTCAGGGATCAAATCCACAGTCTTCTTCGAATATGTTTTCTCAATATTTCAGTGGTATTGGTGGAGATGGAAATGCTGATATTCCTCCATATTAGATCAATATATTTTAATATTTTATGTAATTGTATTTTATCAATGTAATTTTTTTATGCAATCTGTTTTATGTAATTTGAATTTTATCAATGTAATATTTTATGTAATTTGCATTCTATGCAACGTGTTTTTGTATTTTAATTTTATTTGCTAAATAATTTTATAACATATATTATTTTCAAGTTTAAATAAATTTAAATTTAAATTTAAATACAAACATATCGTTTTTTAATAATTATACATACATATTATAAATTTTTTTTGTGGAAAATATATAAAATAATTAATTTTAAAATAAAAAATTAAACATAACTTTTTACAAAGTAAAATTACACGTTAATTTAAAAAATAAAATTACATATCACTTTTAAAAAAATAAAAATTATATCACTTTTCAAACAGTAAAATTATATATCAATTTAAAAAATAAAATTATATATTATTTTCCAAAAACTAAAATTATATCACTTTTAAAAAATAAAATTATACATTATTTTTCCAAAAAAAATAAAATTACATACAACTTTTTAAAATATAAAATTATATATCATCTACTAAAAAATTAAAATTACACAATACACCCAAAAATACCAAAAATATAAAAAATACCACAAAACAGTGTTATTCTATTTTTGAAGTAACACTATGGATATCTGCAAAAATGTGGAGATGATCTAAATAACATTCTATTGATGCAAATTGAATGGAATAACTGCAAATAATTTTTATTGAAGTTTGGATATTTTTGGATGAAATTAATGAAGTTTAAAAGGATTAAATAACTTGGATTGATTTTGGAATTGATTGACACAGAGGCGGCTATTAGCAAGAGTAAAGTGAACAACGGTTCATAGAGGGTCATTTTTCTTTAAATTTTAGCCTATCATAATTATTAAATTTTAAATTTTATTTTATATTTTATATTTTATATTATTATCCAATTAAATTTTAATTTTAAAATTAAATTTAAAACTCTAATCTTATTTTTTTTTATTTTAATTTATTTATTCCTAACCACACTCAGGGCCGTCCCTGGGTCCGGGCGAAAGGGGTGATCACCCAGGCCCAATCTAAATTGGGACTCATTATTTATTTATGTTATATATAAATATTATTTATTAGACAAAATTATTATTATTAGGCAAAATTATTATTATTATTATTAGGCAAAAATTATTTATGATTTCGAAACTCAGTGTAAATTCTCTATATACTTTAAAATTGACATGAACTTCCTTATACTTTAAAAATGTTCCATTAAATACTTTTCATCTATATTTTTTTGTATGGCAGCGTTTCATACAGCGTTTGTTAAAATATAAGAGAGTCTTACGCAATTTTTAAAATTTATGCTAGAAAAAATTATATATATATATATATGTAAGGGCCTCTAATTTTTATTTTGTTCCGGGCCCTTCGAAAGTCAAGAACGGCCCTGACCACACTGCATTACATCTTTCGACATTCAATAGTTCACTTACATTCTCCCCTTTCACTTTCATGTCTTTGCCGCGCTGCCAAGGGCGGAACCACCATAGGGGGCTCCAGCCCCCGCCCGGCCCCACCCCCTTTATTTTATTTAAATTTTGTTTAAATATATATATTTTTTTATATAAGTATCTATATATTTGTATATTAAAAATATTTAAATTACATCATAAATAATGCTATAAAAATAATTAAATATGTTTATGCCTAGTATTTTAATTTCATATAATTTTTTAGAAATATTATAAGATAATACAATATATATATACAACAAAAGTAAAATATACTTTTAGTTGTGATAATAAGATAATTTTAATAAATAGAACTGTTTTTTATCTTCAAATATATCAACTTAAAAAATACAATATTAAAATATATATTTTTAATCATGTTATTTAAAAAAATTTAAGAACTAGCCCCTCTTGCATCGGTCTCTAATTTCGCCTCTGTCGCGCGCTGCGCCCACCCGCCCGCCCACCCAAACCAAAACCCATTTTTTCCTCACTCTACTTTCTCGTTCACCTTCTCTCAATTTTTCTGACTATTCGAACCTCCGGAAGAATCATCGGTCAATTCGATTTTCATCTTTTTCTCTCGAGTCAACACTGTCGTCAGACCACTGCCTTCAACTTCTTGTCTAGCTAACGCCAATGTCACTGATATCATTTTAAAAATACATTTAATCGTGTATTTATAGATTCTAAAATCTATTTTTGCTTAGGCCTTGAAAAAGTCGCAGACGGCCTGGATTGATAGTATATCATATATAGGTCGCGTGGGAGAATAATGCTATTGATTTTCTCCTTAATTGGCGTTGTTACTTTATAATAGCAATTTTTAGAGTGTGGATCAAAGGAAGAATTTCCCAGGGACAAAAATGCTTTTCTCATGAAACCACCATGCACGCAGGTCGAAACCTCGTTCGTATACAACATAGAATCCACAGATTGTCGTATCTGTTGGTCTTTCGATTATCCAACCTTTTTTTCATGCAAGAAAATTGTTGGTGTTCGTGGAATCAAGACTAGCTTAGCTTAATCCGAGGTTTCACCGCGATCATGAGAATCTTCTACATCCTGCTTCCAATCGGGGACCTTTTTATTGCTGTTGCTGTTGCTGCTCTCACACCTCAAAGTTTCAGAATCGTCGAAGGTTAGCCGCCGCCGACTGCTTCTACTTCTACTTGAAATCGAGCGACTGCTGTTCGACCCAAGTCGTCCTTTTTCATTTTTACGCTTTGACCTTGAGCTCAGCTTCTCGTGCTCGTAGTCCGAACTCGATTTGCTGTTCTTGCGAATCTTTCCGCTGTCTTCGTCGTCACCATCGCTGTCTGAACTCGATGAACTGTCCTGGCAATCCCCGTCGAGAATCCTTTCTCTGTCTTCATCGTCTTCCTCATCTGAACTCGATTTACCGTCCTCGCAATCATTGTCGAGAATCCTTCCATTGTCGACGTTATCCAACGTAGTCTGTTTCTTGTGGTCTTCCTTGAAGGAGGTAACGTCGCTGAACTGAGTTCCCGAGTAGACTCTCGCGGACAATATGGGAACAAGATGATTGGGGATGGGAGCTTCGGGTTGCGCCATCGCCAGGAAATTAATGGCAGCTGAAATGTCGCAGATGAGCGGGCGAGCCGACGGCTCCTCCAGTAGACACATGGCGGCGACTCCGACGGCTTGGTTCAAGCTCGTTTCTGGAAATGACTTCCTCAGAAGCGGATCTGCCAAATCAGCGAGCTTTGCCTGATCCCGGAAGATCGGTTGCGCCTGCACATCCTCGATCGCATTCACAAATCCTTAGTAGTAATATTAGAAACGTCATAAAAGCTCAATATATTTTGACGGCTCTATCCTTATGTTACCAGTGTATAAATACATATTGAGATGAAGCTTACCCAAGCAACTAGGCTCTGCTCTTCGGCTGGCCGAGTAGAGTCAAAGGCTTTACGTCCGGATATAAGCTCCAGAAGGACTACACCAAAGTTATAAGTATCTGTTTTTTCTGTTAGCTTCTCATTTTTGTAGCATTCGGGGGCTCTATAACCATCATCAACCGCGACTGCTCTATTGCCCGTGTGGACAAGATTAGCCAGCCCGTATTTGGACAGCCGTGCATTGTTAGCATCATCCAATAGAATGTTCGAGGATTTCAAGTCGCGGTATATGACAGCGGGCTCGGCTTTGTGATGTAAGTACTCGAGCCCCTCTGCAATACCCGATGCGATCTTCATCCTCGTATTCCAGTCCAAGGGCTTCTTACCGGCGGGAAGTTCTGCAAATTGCCATTCCCATGTCAGAAAAGTATCAGTAAAGTTTGTAAAAAGAACATGGAATGTTTGAAAAAGTAGTTTGTTCTCTTTAAATTTGAACTTGCCAAATAGACTGTCCTTCAAAGAGCCGGCAGCCATGTATTCATACACCAAAAGCCTTTGATCTCCATCGGCACAATATCCGACTAGCTTCACCAAATTTGGGTGTTCTAGAAGATTCAACTTTGCAACTTCCATTACAAATTCTGGGCCCGTTTGAACGCCATTCCTGTCTAGTTGCCTCACGGCAACAATCTTTCAAACACACAAAGCCACAATTTAGTTTGGTCTATTTAAGAAATGAGCAAAAGTTTCAGACAAGATTTAATGTATGCACCATCCGATCCATATATGTACCTGTCCGGTTCCTTGGAGTGTCCCTTTGTATATTCTCCCGAATCCTCCTTCACCCAATAGACATTCTTGGCGAAAGTTCTTTGTGGCCATGGCCAGCTCACGGAAACTGAAATTTTTGGTTGAGCTATATTCATCATCTCCGCGGAATTCAGGTTGTGATCTGTTACTTCCATCTTCTGCCTCAACAAAGCACAGTGTAGAGAATTAACTTTGTATATTATTTGTGTCCATCTAAAAGATCAACCCCAAGGACAGGTACAGATATGAACAACCATGTGGATGGATAGAATAGGAACTATTATTATAAGTGTTAGATACCTTTGGCATGAACACCACAACATATACTTATTCCCCGACCTAATTGTTTCAACATTTTATTGTTTCTTTCTCTGAATTTTCGACAAAATCCTCGCGCGATCTTCCTCCATCTAATAATTTATTTCCCCCATACAGAACAAAAGACTAATGCTCATACGATTTTGGTCAATTGAAAGATGCTTGCAACCATCTTTTAATTTTATTTTTTCTTACAACTTCAAAACACTCAGTACACAAAAGCTAAATAAAATAAAAAACACCCACAAATCTTATTTAACATAAAGGGAGCTGAAAAATCAAGAAACCCATAGAGAAGAAGTGAAAAAAGAGAATCAGCCACTCTAAGCAGAGGAAAAAAAAATATATATATATATATATATTAACCTGCATTCGTTTTACAGTTAATTGTATGCCCAAGTTTATAAGCTCTCTAAAACATATTAATGTAAGATGTTCAAAAGTCCATTGTCATATTTGACATTACCACTTCATGGTATGATACAAAATTTTGGAACGAACAATCTGTTGGTTTTAGGCCCCTGAGATATAGATAGGGAATACACACCCTTATTATTCCAATTCAAAAGAATGACTCCTTACCTATATATTTATAGAAATGAGAAAGAGTAGATAAACTATAATCCTTATAATATCTACTGAATCTATTTAAAATTCTAAAATTTGATAATTTAACTGGATAAACTTCATCAAGAATAACAAAAAGATAATGATATAAAAATGTCAAGCTTGGATTAAATCCAAGACAATCAAAGCATAAATAAACCAATGTAATCGATTTATGAGATAATCACAATCCAAAACGGCATGTGAGTGAGTGAGTGAGTGAGTGAGTGAGTGAGTAGGTACCATTACGAGGAGGACGAGGTGGTGGTGAAGGACTGAAGTCTTTGGGCTTCGCCACCGGCAAGCTGCCGTGGTTGCTCCCGCCCCTCCTGCTGCTGCTGTCTTCGTTTTTTTGGAAGCATGGAAAGCAACTCATTTCGATCGCCAAGAAATCAAGATTTCCTAGAACCGAGGTCTCTCAAAAATCTATGAATGCCTGTGGGTGTGTGTTTGGATGCAAATTAAATTTAGGAGGGCTCCTTGATAGAATGAATCCCCAATAAAGTATTGCTTTCTTGTCAGAAAACATGCTTAAATTCAGGCAGGGAAACATGTATTGAAGGAGACCATGAGATCTTTGACTCGCTTCATTTCCTTATAATGTAAGGAAATGTGCGTATGCAATGGGTCTGGGGAAGGGGGAGGGTCCTTCAGGTGATTGAAGGACCCCGGGAGGATGACAGACAAAATTCCGACAAGAAATTGTCGATGTCGAGGGAAGTGATGAATCATTTCGTAATGTATTATTGATAGAGAAGAAGAAGAAGACATAAAATTGGTTGGATTGTTTGTGGACGGAGATGCCTGCCATGCGCAGTGTTTGGTTTTGAACATGGCGTAGAAAAAGGATAGGGGAAGATTTCAATGGACTCGCTTCTTTCCTGCGCTTCACTCTCTCTTTGCTTTCTTCTCTCGGCTACCGGTCTCTCTTCAATTCGTACGCGTGTATATATTATTTGGTTTTTATTTAAATAATACTCTCCTCCTAGCCACGTACGATCCGTTTGGTTTCAGAGTTTAAGTCAACAGCCACATCAGCAATTTTTTTAAAAAAAAATTAAAAAAAATAAAGATGTTGCTTATGTTGATTAATTGCCACGTGGACACGTGGAATTTATGTATATATATATATTTTATTTTTGTAATTTATATTGAATTTATTGTTATATTTAAATTTTGTAATAGTTTTATAATTTATGATATTTTGTATTATACAAAATGATACTAATATTGAATATATTTTATTAATTTAAATTTTAAAATATATAAATACAAATATTATATAATTCTATTAACAAATCAATATTAATAAATTTAATTTAATTTATTAAATAAATTTTAAAATTTAATTAACTAAATAATAAATAATATAATTTTTTTTTCATAATTTTTTAATAAATCACAACATTGACAAATAATAATATGATATAATATAATATAATAATTAAATAAATAATTAATACTACAAATTAAAACTATAATTTAAAAATAATATATATATAATATAAAAATAAAAATTTATTAAAAAATTAGGATGAGTATATTTGTTGTGAATATAAAATAGAAGAGAGTATCTTCGCTGACGTGGCAGATAGAGAAAGTGACGTGGATAAGAAAAAGTAGTAGAGATACCCAACAGCGGGTATCTCCATTGCGGATGGTCTAAGAAAAAAAGGAAAGTAAAGAAAAGAATCTATAAAAAATTTTGTGTTAAATTCAAATACGCGTCTATATTATAAAGGGTATGTTTCTTTCGCAAAATTTTTTTAAATTTTACTATTTGTACTGTGTTTCACAAAAAATCACAAAACATCCTATTAAATTCAAACTAAATTTTTTTCAAACTCATAGAAAGAAACATACATTTGGTTTTTATTTAATTTTTTATTTATATAATATTACCCTCTTAGCCACATAGGGTGTTTTGTTTGAGGGTTTAGGAGGGGAAAGAAGGTAAAGGGAAGAAATTATAAAAAAATTTGTGTTTGTTCAAATTTTGTTAGAAGAGAGGGGAGGAAAATGAATTTCTTCTAATTTTATTTTTTTCAATTTGGAGGAATTCAAAGGAGAAGAATTTTATGAAAATTTTATTTTATTTAATTACTTATTATACACTTTAAATATTTTATTAAAAATTTTATAAAAAATTTTAAAATTTTAATATGTTTTTATTTTATTTTTAATTATATCAAATAAATATTAACATATATTTACATTATATTATATATTTTGAAATATTTTTAATTAATTTTTTAATCAAATTTAATTATAGTATTTTTTAATAAATTATACAGATTAGCATATAATTATATCTATAATAATACTATTTTACTAATAAATAATTTTAAAATAATTTAGTTTTAAATGAATAGATTTAGCTTGAATAATTGATTTAATTAACTAAATATATTTAAATTAATATAAATAATTAGAATTAATATTTATAATTTACTTAGTTTATATAAATTTTGTTATATCTATTGTTATTTGCATATATCATTATTATTTATATGTATTTTAATTTCAATAAATACTTCCTTTATGATTAAAATGAATCACAATAACCCAATTTAAGTATATTATGAAATATTTTTATAATATACTTAGTTTATAAATTTTTTGTTATATTGTTATTATTTATACGTGAAACTATTATTTTATTTGTAAGTTTAATAAATATCTAATGTATATAGTATTTGGTTTCTTCAATGCGTAATAATGTAATTTTTATTTTTGTTATATTGGACAAATAAATTTTGTATCACATTTTATGAATAAATTAATCGAATTTTATTAAATATTTTAAATTTTTTATTTATATAACATTGGGCAAAACAGTAAAATTAGTATATTTTTCATTCATTCTCCTGCTTAACCAAACATAAAATTACTATTTTCCCTCGTCTTGTCTTCATTCCCTTCCATATGAACCAAATATACAATTACAATTTTAATATTCTTTCTTCTCCCTTGTCCTCCCCTTCCTTTAATTAAAATTCCTCCCCTCTCTTCCCCCTCATTTAAAGGTATGTTTGGTTTCAAAGAGCAATGGAAGGATTTTAATGGTAGAAAGGGGAGGCTATGACAATAGGAAAAATATTAAAATTGAAATTATGTCTTTGGTTTTGTTGGATCCTAAAATTCAGAGTCTTCAAGACATTTTGTTGATTTCGTCGGTGTGGGTTCTGAAAGTATGCCAAAAAATCAATCCGTCGTCGGATTGGGGGCGGCTCCTCCGGTGGAGCCTGTGTGGCTTCGAGTCTAAACGGATGATTTTGATATATTTAACTAAAATCTACTAAAATTTAGATAAATATACTAAAAATTGGATAAAAACATACTGGAAATATAAATTAGCAAAAAATCAACAAAAGATAACATGAATTATAACATAATTGGATAATCTTCTCAAATCTATAGATAAACTAATAAAATGATAAAAACTTGTTGAAGAAATGTGTGTTCTTGTCGTCGTGTTTGTTGTGCCTTTTTTTGCCATATTTAATCCTAAGACTAAGTAACTATTACTTCTACTAAAGAGGTGGTTACAATTATTCTTTTGACTAACTCCAACCGTCTGACAACTCCCTCCACTCAATTCTCAACCATTGGACTCACTTCAATCACCTGACAACTCCCTCCACTCATTTCTCAACCATTGGACTTACTCCAACCACCTGACAACTCCCTCAACTCATTTCTCAACCATTGGACTCACTCTGAACAGCCTCCATTGCACTTGAACCGGTCCACAACCACTCCAAACCACCTCCATTGCACTTAAACCGTTCCACAGCTCACTTCAAACCGTCTCTATTACACTTGAACCGATCAACGACTCACTCCAAACCATTTCTATTATACCTTAGCCGGTCTACGGGGTTTTATCCCCAACAACTTTGAGTTGTATAGAGTCTTCAGATCTTTCTTATGTCAGCTTGTCTCCAAGGAGTCTTCTGAATAAAACATGAAAGCATGTGAATCTTTCATTGACTTTCGGTATGGAGCCGTTAACCTAGAGCCAATGGAGATTGTTGTTTTTGGCTTCACGGAGGCAACAATATTCGACTTTATGGAAGCATTGTTACGGGATGGAGGCGCCATAGTCCAAGGAGTTGATGCCCAAGGTTAATGGAAGTTGTTGCCTCATGGTCTGTGGAGGCTGTTGCTTTCGGTCCTGTGAATGCGGCAATCATTTGCTTTGTGTAGACATCACAGTTCAATGGAGGTTGTGTCTTTCGACTCTGTGGAGGCAGCAGTCTTTGGCTCTGCGGCCTGAAGCTCCATTGTTTTTGGGCAGCTCCATGGCCTGGGAGCTCCGGCTCCGTTTTTTTCTTCGAGCCTCCTTCATGTTCGGGTACTTTTGGACCCATATCCAACAATGTCCTCCTAAAAGAGGCTGGACGATTGCCCATTGAGCCCATGTCCTTTTACTCCGAGCCGCTCGCTTGTATCAATTGTGGTCACTTCCGTCGACAAGGGATCTTTCTCGGCCTTAACTTCTTGGACTTCATCTCCATCTCAAAACATCAAATTTTGATGAAGTGTCGATGGCACACATTCGCATGCATGAATCCAGTTTCGTCCCAAGAGAGCCGAATAGAATGGTCTGCTATCGATCACCACGAAAGTTGATGATATTTCCTTCATCCCCATCTGCAAATTCAAAGTGATAATACATGCCGGTTTGTAAGATTTTCCGTTAAATCAATAGGCCATACTAATGCAAGAATCAAAACATCTCTAGTATTTCCGAACTTCCGTAGGGTCCCAATCTGCAATACACTCGCAGCGGCTCCGCTGTCCACCAGAACTTGATAAAGCGGATGTCCATTTATTGAGGCCTGAATGCATAAAGGCTTGACATGTTAGTTTTGGCCAATCCCAAGCCTCTTAACTTCGATCATGGTTGTCACATCATTCCATTTGAGGATAGACTCATCGTCAATGACAATTCCCATTAACTTTTGAAATTCTTTTGGAGCTCTGATATCTTCCGAAGGCTCATCCACATGTTTTCTTTCCGGAAGAGGCTTCTCCATCTGCTTTCCTCTTGGAATGGGCTATTATGTCTGCTTTTCTGTTAAAAGATGTTCCACAGTCTATTTTCTTAGCAGCTCCACGGCCTACTTTCTTTCTGGAAGCGGCTCCACAACCTGCTCTCTTTCTGAAAGCGGCTCCACAATCTATTTTCTTTCTGAAAGTGGTTCCACAGCCTGCTTCTTTTTTTGAGGTGGCTCTTTCATTTGCTTTTCCTTCAGAGATGGTTAATGTAACCTTCCCTCCTCCATACGAGCCTGCAACTTTCTTCTTTGAGCTCGCCTCTTTTGAGTCCTGTTTCATCCCTTTATTGCCCCCTTAGTGGAAAATTTCGGCTCATTCACAATCCATTTTTCATTCTTTGTCACGATAGGAGGCTTTTGCGTCGCCTTGTGAATGATGGTGATCTAGTTAGCCATGGTAACCATCCAAAACCATATATTTTCTTCTTTTACAATCTTGAGGCTTTCGGACTTGGGATGGTGACATCGACATTAGGCTCCCTCTTGACCGTCCTTTGTCTTGCCTCCACCATGTTTGAACTTGAACATTTACCAAATGTCATTATTGTGAAGATGGTTTTTTTAGCGGATGCCTTCGGTCCTAGATAGTCTTGAACCGAAGTTTTTTACGGCTGGGTGCCAAGCCCGTCACTCATAGGCCCTTGGCCGATATGGTATTTCCAGCATGTATAAACCCTTTGGTTAGCTCCAATTCCGAACACGAATAAGTTTTTCCATTTGCTAATTTTGTGGCCAAAGCTTTTGCCTCTGCAAAGCCCTTTTCGTCTGAAGTCGCTAGGGCTTTTGTCCCTGCAGGCTCCTTTTTGTATGAAGTCTTTGCCCTTTTAGACTTTTTTTCAT